GTGGGTGCGGACACGGCGGTTAGCAAGGCGCTGCGGTTCTACGTTCAGAACGCGGACGTGGGCCTCAATATGAAGAGGATCGCGCCGGTCGGGGGCGTCGCATTCGTGGCGATGACCGACGTGGCCGAGGGGGTGCGACATAATGGAGCGAGCCATGGAGGACGCGTCATCCTTGCATCCCACGCGGGAGTCCTCCAAGGCTACGTGTCCGACATCGGCGTTGTCGACTAGACCGCTCATCAATGCGCGCGGACTCCCAAGCGGCAGCAGCAGCGGGCATGGGCGCGCTTGAGTTTGGCCAGCGGTTCGGGGCAGCTATGGTTTACGATTGCGTGGGCGTCGCCGAGGGCGAGAACGCTCACCGTGCCAGCGGGCCGGCGCTGGTCGTGGACGCCGCGGCGATCCTCGGCGCGACGCAGGTGGAGATAATCACCAGCTTCCAGGACAAGAGGACGGACATCGAAGTGCTAGCGATGCGTGAGAGGATGGAAGCGTTCGAAACGCGCTGGAGGTCGGTTTCGTCCGACACGCAGTGCCTGGGCGGGCTCTCGAATATTGCAGCGAGACAGCTCTCCGCGGATCGACTGCGTCGTGGGCGGCCCCAACTAGTGCGCGACGCACCCCGTGCGGTGGTCAAGGGGGGTGCCGTGGAGGAGCGGCGGGGAAACATCGACCAGACGAGGGCAGCTGCATCGTCGGCATTGGGGAAAACGACCTCACCCCTCATGCAGCTGGGAGTGTTAGCGTCAAGTTGCTGCCGAACAGCGGCCTGAGCGACCATCGACATTGGGGAGCAGATCTACGGTTGTGACAGAATCGTATGTTTTGCCCTGGTGTTCGCGGTCATGGGCATCGCTGTGGCATATCCCACAATCATGTGCTATAAGACGAAGGCCGGGTACACCATGACTATGGCGTGTGCTACATTCAGGGCCAAGAGCCAGGAACATGGGGGAATCAGGGAGAAACCGCAATATATCGATAACGAGATGACGACGACCCTTGCCAAGCCCGACGCAATGTCGAACAGGTATGGAGGTAAGTATACGGCCAAAGCGGTGGGAATGCAGAGCATGGTGACGTACAAACTTTACGACGACTTTTGAAACCAAGGTTTCCAACGGGCAGGCGAATTCACCTCCAAGCTGGTGATCAAACAGAAGAAGATCACAAAGTGAGAGCAGCGCAGCATCAATATGTTTAATTTTTGGTCTGTTCATTTCCCATACTTCCAAATATTTGTACATCTTTACACTTTGGTGGGTGTGACATATGCGCCGTACGTATGTTTGTATGCAGATCTGCGAAGAGAGGGAGACACAGGAAAGAGAGAGAGAAAGAGAGAGAGAGAGAGAGAGAGAGAGAGAGAGAACGAGAGAAAGAGAGAGAAAGAGAGAGAAAGAGCAGAGGAGCAGGGGAGTACAGTCTTCATAGCCTCGTCCGAATTCGTTGTGGCCCAAGCCTTAGGGCCCTCGAGTCATTGCTGCGCGCCGTCAAAACATCCCTGAAACTGTTATCTTTCAGTTGTGTTCTCGCTACCAGCTGGGACCTCGAGGGCCTCGGTGGGTTCATGCCTCCTCCTCCGCTCCACAAGGCGCCCTGCCGAACGCGAGGGAGGAGGGGCGGAGGGATGGAGGGATGGAGGGATGGAGGGGGAGGGGGGACGAGGAGAATGCGAGAGGGAACAGGACAAACTAGGCGCGCTCGCGCCTCATCGGACGTCCTGTCCCTCCTTCACATATCTCCCAACTGCGCCGGCCTTCTCTACATATCCCTGGACGCGTGTCATAGCCGACCTGCAGTTTCAGCCAAAAGGCTATGTCGTGTTATGCGCGATCGGACAGGGGGAGCTGTGTGCGCAGGACGAGGAGGTGGCGGGTGAGTGGTGGGTTGAGCGGGAGGAGAGGACGAGGACGAATAGCAGCAGCAAGAGCCGGAGTGAAGGAGCGGAAAGAACAGGATGACCAAGGGAAGGCGGAGGGGAAAGGAGGGCGGGGACAACGATGAAGCAAGACTCGGATTCGGAAAAGTGGCCCGTGCTGGGGCGAAAACGCCATTATTCTGAGCGGCGGGAGCCAAGCGCCGATCCGAAAATGAGGCCCGCGCTGCAGCGGGAACGCAATTTGAGACACCGTAAACAACCAGAGTGTAACTAACAAACATAACGAAAGGGTCGCCCCCCCAATATCAGACATTTTCTTCTCTACTATCGCCATCGTCGATCGATCTCTCCTCCCCCCTCCCCCTCCTCGTCCTCCTCCTGAAGGAAACCCTGTGTACTTTTTGTTGTTGTTGTTGTTGTTGTTGTTGTTGTTGTTGTTGATGCTGTTTTTTTGTGTGTTTTGCAGGCCCGGATGCTCGCGTTGGCCTTCCTCTCAGCACCCTTTCATGCGCACGACTGTTCGTGCAATCGATGCAAGGATTTTTTTTGGGGGTCTGAGCAGGAAGGAGACACAGTTTTTTTTGTGGTTTTGCAAGCCCCACGGGTGCTGTGAGAGAGACCAGTGCGAACGTCGGGGCTTGCAAAACCCAAGAGCAAAAAAACAAACAAACAAACATACACAAGGTTTCCTTGGTTATCATACAAAAAACAACACAGCTACACAATGTTTCCTTGCACCGAGGACGCCGCACCCTGAATATTATTACTTCCATATTTCTCCTCCTTTCCTGTCTTCCTCCTTGCTGCAAAGCATGCAAACCAAGAACACACAGTGTTTGGTGCCCTTGGTGCAAGGAAACGCTGTGTATGTTTGGTTGTTCTGTTTTTTTTGGTCCAGGATGCAACGATTTTTTGGTCTTGGAAGCTCAAGTGCTCCCCGCGGCCCCCCCCCAAGCACCCCTGTTCCTTCTCCCCCTTCCTCTGTCCACCTTTTTTTCCTCCTTTCTTTTCGTCCTCCTTGTTGCAGAGCAAGAAAACCAATAATACACAGTGTTTGGTGCCCTTGGCGCAAGGAAACGCAGTGCATTTTCGTTTTTTGTTGTTTTTGTTTTTGTTTCTCTCTCCGTTTTTTTGGCTCTAGGATGAAAGGAAAGACGGTGTATTTTCTTGTTTTTTTTTTTGGGGGGGGGGGGGGAAACTCAAGTGCTCCCCGGGCCTCCCCCCCAAGCACCTCCTCCATTTCCTCCTTCCCCTTGCCCCCTCCTTCTCCTCCTTTCCTTTCCTCCTCCTTGTTGCACAGCAAGAGAACCAACCATACACAGTGTTTCGTGCTCTTGGTGCCAGGAAGCGTTTTTTTTTGTTGTTGTTGTGTGTTTTTTTCTTCGATTTTTTAACTGTCTAGGATGTAAGGAAACACGGTGTATTGTTGGATATTTGTTTTTTTTGGGGGGGGGGGGTTTGGAGCTCCGGAAGGGAAGGAGGAGGAGGAGGTGCTGGGAGGAGGCAGCGGGGAGCACTTGAGCTTCCAAAACCTCTAAAAACCAAAATAACCAAACATACACAGCGTTTCATTGCACCAAGGGCGCCAAACACTGTATGCGCCAACACGGAAGAGGAAAGGAAAGGAGGAGAAGGGGGG